TTTTTATTTTTTTCATCTGCTTTTGAAACAATATACTAGGAGCCTTCTATTAAATTTTCAAGCTTTTTTAACCAACAAATAAAATTTTATTGATATTTATAGAAACAAAAACTAAAAAAAATGGAAACTGAAAATGTCCGTAAACAGCTCAAAATAAGTCAACATACTTGGAAAATGTTATGGTGTATAGAAACATCCAGTCAACTGTCAACATTTCATGTACCTCCGGTCAATGGTTTTAGAGTAACTAGCACCAAAAACAAAAGTCGATTTTCTCAAAAATAAATTTTGCGTAAAGATGCCCGTTTTCTTTTAATTTTTTAATTCTTTTGTTTTGCACGGCGCTTTTGAAAACTACTGAGAAATTTTTACTTTTGACCCCCCAAAGTACCAACTAGATTCACTTTCCCATCAGAAAAGATACTGTTGAAGAAAAACTAAGCATTCTTATTGTCCTAAAAGGTGATGACACAAAAATAAAAAATAAAAAAATACACATCATTGTAAAATCAATACATTAATCGTTTCACTCAGAATCTAAAAAGAAGAAACAAACATTTTTTGTGTACACAAAAATATTTTTATTATATATTGAACAAAAATAGTACGTAAAGGGGAAAAATAATATTGAAAAAAAAAATTTTTTTATTCACTTAAAATGGGAACAAATAATTAAGTACAAAATAATAAATCAAAATGTTCAAAGTGAAAAATTTAAGAAGTAGGTAATTAAAGAAAATAAAATAAAATACACCGGACAGGAGACACAATAAACCATGAGGGAGTGCTGCCGTGCTGGTATGCAAAGGGTTAGGCCACTGGTCACCTCTGCAACGTTCTCGCCATCTGTCCCTCATGTTGACGAGTGTCAAGGGCTGTGTACTCGGACGCGTAATGATGACCTTGCCAGCCGGTGAGGCTAGACCGCGAGAGCCGATGGTTGAGATGCGTTGACACAATGAGACGATGAATATATTGATTTTTGGTTTTTTTTTGTGTGTGTTTGCGTAAACGATAAATAGTTTAAATAATGCTTCGATATTCTACTTCAGTATCTTTTCTGGAGGGAAAGTGAATTTAGTAAATGCATTCGGAGGTTGAAATTTAAAACTCCCAGTAATTTGATTGGTTTTTTTTCTATATATAAGTGTCAATAAAATTGCATTCGTCGGGTCAAAATGCTTGGAAATGTAATAAAGGCTAATAGTAATAACATATTTTACATATTGTTACAATGGCCGTTGATATATATTTAAAATACATGGGCACGATTTGTATAAGTATCTACCTATTTAATTTGAGAAAATTTATGAAATTGAAAATTTGCAAATTATTTTGTGGCTAAAAATTTATAAAATGTTCAATTATTATAGCTAAGGATTGAAAATTTAAAATAAGGTTCCACGTAAGTATATATAGTTTATACTGTAAAAAGAAATTTTAAAAATATATATAAATTGCACATTTATTATAGCCATTTTTAGGTAACATTTTGACAAATTAGATATTTAAACAAAGAATAACGATTTTAGTTGTATGGATGTAATTTAAAAATATTATTTCTGCATAGGTAGGTATACTTAAAACAGTTTAAACTATTAAAATATATTATTATATTTTATACATATTACACACAATGACATTTTAAATGCAATTTTTTCGACAAAAATTAATTTAACCTACTGTAATACCTATATATACCTAATAATGCTTATATAAAGAAACCTCCCTTAACGGACACCACCCAATAGTGGACGTTTTCTTGGGACTACATGCATTCGATAATCTGAACCCTCTGAATAGCGGACACCCACCTCCGAATAACGTACCTACAAAATGTCAGTAACCGAGGTCCGAGAGACGAGAGTGTCCGGTATTTAAAGGTTTCAATGTAGGTAATACTAAAATAAATTACTTTAATAACAATAAACATTCAGTCAAAATTGTATGTACCTGTCATTTGTTTTAGAGTTGCACCAATAACCCAAATCGATTTTCTCCAAAGCAAATTCCTGTTTTTCCTTAATTTTTCTTTTGAAAACTTTAAAATGTTTACTTTTGACCTCTTAAAGTATCAACTAGATTCACTTTCTTATCAGAAAAGATACTGTTGAAGAAAATCTAAGCATTTTTACTGTTCTATAAGGTGATGACAGACACAAAAATTAAAAATTAAAAAAAAAACACACATTATTATAAAACCTATACAGTATACATTCATCGCTCTGCTCAGAATCTAAAATAGACATAGTGAATATTATTATACTAAAAATCATAATGTCAGTATTTAAAAAAACGATAATTTATACAAGAACAAAATAGACCAACATGAAATACCTAGTTATTAATTTATGAGTTGTTATTGTTCTTAATTAAAAGTTATCTTTTTAATATTTAATACAGAAAAATATTACATTTTGGAATATAAATGGATTTAATTTGAATAAAAAAATAAAATCGACACTCGTCAATAGTAATTTGAATCTATTATTAAATATAGGTAGGTATTTGTGGTATCAGTGTATCACCCGTATCGGATAATACGCGGTAAACCAACTTTATACCTTACCCTCGTACGCTCTAGGCTAATGACTGTCTCTAGAATAAATTCAGATTAGCACTGTTAACCTTTGAGGTACGATGGTATGCGTTTTGTCAGTTCTTCGTCCGTCTCCTAAATTGGTATGACTATTAGGACGCCACTACCAGAGCACTGTTCAGTTTGTAATAAACCTCATTGACTATAGGTGTGTAGGTCTGAGCACTGTTCCAATATTAAAGGTAAGAACGAAGAAGACTGAAATAATACTCAACTCGGGTTTTTAGGTCGCAAACACTTTTATTATACTAAAACAAACATAAATAAAACACTTAGCAAATTCAGATTGCCTAGCCTGTACTACGTAACCTACGTCCTCGCCGAATCACTCAGCGACAATGGGAGTACCCGTGCCTGAGCGTACGGCGGTGTTATATAGTAAAATCTTATTGCTGCCTCAGCACATATTGCTTCACTGACCTATGTCAATAGTTTACAATTTAAAATGTTCCCACCTCTATTACATATACAGTAGACGCCGCCGCTTATAAGACTCACTTTGGGACCAGCACAAAGTGAGTCTTATAACCGAATGAATCTTATAGGCGAAGTGGAAAAAAAAAATTAATTACGTATTTATAAATTTTATTTTACTACATATTTTGCTTTGATTTTAATACTTTAAGTTTTAACACATTTTACATATTACATACTTTATTATTGAATAAATTTAATAATCCTGATAAAAATACTAAAATTATAATAGGTAAATATTACATATAAAAATATTTAAAAATTATACATTAATAAAAAATTATAAAGGATGTATGTACATATTTTAATGTATTTATTATTTATTTTTATTATACGTTATAAGGTACCACCAGAAACTAGAAATAATCAACACGAATATTAATTAATTTTTCAATACAAATTTATTTCTAAATTATAACCAAAAAAGTTTATTTTCTACTATTTATTTTACGAAATTTGAGTCTTATAACCGAAGTGTTGAGTCGTATAACCAATTTTTTTTTAATGTATTTGGATACGTCCGGACCGTTCCAGACGATTTTGAGTCTAATAAGCGACTGAACCTTATATCCGTGAGTCTTATAAGCGGCGTCTACTGTATATTAAATAATAATATCTTGACACGACTGTCTACAATATACGACAGAATAATAAATTAGAAAGCGAATATAATATGTTGAGACTATAAGTACTAATATAATTAGTACCAGTCCGTTCTAAATGTATTTTAATAATTCATAAAATCATAAAACCAATATTATAATTATTATTTTTTTTTTATTGATCCTTACGGGGCCGTTACAGTTACATTTGTTTTCTCTGTCTTACAAGTGCGTAACATAGCAAATTTTACACTCTGCAAAACAATATTATCTCTCGCCAGTTTAAAAATTAGAGCGAATTGACCTCTTATTAGTAAGAAATTTTTTGTTAGATAGAAGAAGGTCTTTTACAGGTCGCATTGGACTTCGATTTTTGGTTTCGTTGCTCAAAAGAAAAAATAATACAAAAATTAAAAAGCTGTTAAAATGGATTAAATTCAAACTTCTAACATAAGATTTAGAAAAATAATTTTGAAAATCCAAGGCCAATGTGCCCTAACAGAATCTTCCTCTATCTAACAATAATGGAAAATGGACCAATCTACGAGGCGTGAGAGTTTTTCCTGTAAGTCATGTTTTTGAGCAAAAAACAAGTCACGGGCAGGCCTTAACAGCGCGTTCTCTCAGTCGTTGTATACGTTTAGCTTTAATTGTAGCTTCCTCTTAAAATGTATTATTTATTTATTTATCTATATTGAATCTTGAATTGTGTCTAAAAAATAAATATGTTTATTATATTATAGGCATCTGGCATAGACAATAGAATATTATGGATTATTGCAGTTACTTGGCAGTTGCTTTATTAGAATTGATAAAATATGGCATAATCATTACTAATTTATTACATTTTGGAATTATTTACATAGTGAGCAGAGTACAGAGTACAATAGAGTAGGTACAGAGTACATACCTATACTGTCATAACTAAAAAATGTAAAATCGACATAAATATACCATGGATAAAAAGAGTATTTAGCTCGTTGTACCATAGATTATATAAAACAGATTTATTATATACCTAATCTGTCGATCTGTAGTTGTACTCTCGTAGTGTGAAGACTGATGGCTCTAACGCAGTGCTTTATAGCTTAACATTTTAGTTATTCTAGAGTTATATAGTTATATAGTTAAACTATAGGTACCTATATAATAGACTTCCATCGTCATTATTTATGTACATTGGTTCATTATAGTCTAGTAGTGATTATATTATTTAAAAAAAAAAAATATTACATTATTTTTTGGTTTTTGTATCACCTTTCACGCACATTTCTTGCGATTGAGTGATTTTTATATACTAGTATTGACTAAAAATTATACTAGATATGTCGTCGTCTACATCAGTGAAAATGGTGAAGTTCAACAATGGCCAACAGTATCCAATCTTAGGTTTGGGAACTTGGCAGGTAATACAAAATGATGTTAAACTATTTATATAATATAATATAATATATTTTATTTCTATTAATTAATTAATCCAAAATCATAATAAATTACAGTCACGGTTATTTAAGTTCTTATTTGAGAAAAACTATTTACATTTTTGTGTGTACCTATATATTTGAAAATATTTGTTGCCTATGTTTATCATATCTTTTATGCATATTTTGATCCATTATTTTATTAAATTTTAGGCCACACCTGAATTAAAAGAATTTGAACAGACAGAGATTTACGATGCAGTAAAAAGTGCAATTGATATAGGATATCGTCATTTTGATTGTGCAGCTTTTTACAATAATGAAAATTCCATAGGCAAGGCTATTGCTGAAAAAATTAAAGAAGGAGTCATAAAAAGAGAAGAATTATTTATTACTAGTAAGGTAATGTACCTTAAACTAAATTTATTATGCAATTATTTAATTTGTAGGTATTATTATATTCGTATTACTATTTATAATAAATTATATTATTTAACTTTAGAGTTTTATTAAGTACTTATCACTTGATTCTAAATTTAAAATGTCTTATTTATTATTTTTACCAATTAATAAAAACTATAATAACTGAGACCCTATATCATGGTCAGAGGACCATTAGGGGTCCGCATGTATACAGAAGGGGATCCGAAAATTATTATTATTATTTATTATTGTTAGGTTAGGTTTTTTTATTACGGGGTCCGCAATAATTCTTACTATATTCTAAGGTGCTTGGTAGAGGAATAGTTTGGGAAATGCTGCTTAAGAAGATTATAATATCAATTTGGTACTAAACAAGATATTTCAGTCACCACCAAATTAAACATTTTTTGCTACCTACAATATTATTAATAAAAAGCAGTGTACTTATTTGTCATGAATAATAATAATAATAATAATTTTTAAATAATATAATGTATAGTACAGTAGTTACTAGTTACACTATACAGTATATAATATTTATTTATAATAATTAAATGGACGGAGTCTATATACAAAATGGTTTAAATTACAGCAGTAAGAGATTACAATTGATAATAAAATAGGTTAGGTATACAAAAAGAAATATATAAAAATTAAAGCAAAAGGATCACAAAAATCTTTACATGACCATTTGATAAAACCAAGAATACTCATTGCTTTGTTCTTAATTAAGTGTAATACCATCTAATTATTATTATCATACAGGGTGGGCCCGGCTGTCCCACACTGTATGATAATAATAATTAGATGATATTACACTAGATAGTGACCTTTATTTTGTATTAACCTGTAATATTACCACCCTTTAGGTAAGGAGAATTTTGATACGCCACTGGCCCTCCATTTAAATCAGTGGCCCTAGCTTGGCCCACCCAGACAAAAAAATCTGGTGCCACCACTGGTGATAAGTAAAATTTAGTTTAGAATCAAATATTATGCCAAAATCGTTGAAATGAGATACAAGTTCAAGATTAGAATTTGAAATGGAATAGTAAAAAATAATTGGGTTCTTGATTAATTAAAACACATAACTTTACATTTTTCAATATTTAAAAATTGAACATTTCTTTCACACCAAATTTGTAAGTTGTTTAAATCTGTTTGTAAATCAGTAATATCTTGATTTTTTTAAATTATTTTTAATAGCTTGGTATAATCAGCAAATGAAAAAAATTCAGATTTTTTAATAACATTAGGTGCATAATTTATGAAAATATTAAAAAGGAGAATTGACAATAGTTGTCGCCTTGGGGAACATCATAGAATGACTCTGGTACAAGTAGAAGGTCAAATTGATTACAGTCTAACGATATATTTAATGCTTATTATCAATTTAGGCAATAATGGATCAGGATTAGAGACATTAACATGAACATTTGGTACTATAGGTATTATAAATGATTAGGTACATATTATGCTTATCTGCTGCGGAGTGCTGTACATAAAAAAAAACCAAGAAAACAATGGTTACACCCCAGATCACTTGCTCATCTGTTTCTCATTTAATAATAGGATAATTAATTGATAATTTTAATATTGACCCCAATGCCAATTATTTATAACGCATAACTTTATATCCGCATAACTAATTATTTATTAAAAATTGTAATTGGGTTCTACCCGTTTAAATTAATAATAAATAAATAAATAAATTTAGATAATATAGACAATTAATTCACTATTTTACAAGTATTGCATGTATGATTTAGTTTTAGACTATTGTCTTATCATTTATGTGAACATTCCTTTTAATAATTTTTATTATATGAATTCATTTCATTTTTGTAAAGTTAATATAATTTTTTTTTACACAAATATTTTTTTATTGTTATTAACTACCTATTGTACATAATTTAAAATATTACATTAATGTGTTTAGTATTAAAATTGTTATTTGTTTAGCTATGGAATAACAAACATAAACCCAAAGACGTGGAAGTTACATTGAAGAATAGCTTGCAGTTATTGGGCTTGGATTACCTAGATTTATATCTTATTCATTGGCCAGTTTCAACCACTGTGAATAATTTGATTTTGATTATTGTAGGAAGAGCAATTAAATTGTAATTACATTTTTTATAATTTTTAGGAACATCCGATTGCGAAAGATAGTGAAGGGCGATTTATTGGCACTGATGATTCTTATTTAGACACATGGAAGGCTATGGAACAATGTGTCCAATCAGGACTTACAAAATCAATAGGAATTTCAAATTTTAATATTAAACAAGTGAAAGAAATTTTAGAAATAGCAACAATAAAACCAGTTGTTAATCAGGTAATAGCTAAGACTAAGACTACTGGACAAATCATAACATTCAAAAATTGTTTTTAACACAGTACCGTTTAACCAAATTTTCCAAAAGTATTTAAAACAATAATTATTAATATAGGATGCTTTTTCACTGTATCATTCTACTTAATTATTGTTAGTAGTCTTAAACTCATCATTGTATAATAAACTAGTAAATAAATTCTTTACTTTGCATCAGGGACGTCCGCTGAAAGAAGCTCAGTAGGTAACAAATTTTACTTTCCTAGGCAGGCACCTATATAGTAGGGACTAAACAAATATTATTTACGGGATAAAAACATTTTTTCAATCCACCTGGCACTTAGTCTCAAAATACTGATACTGAAATGTTGTTACAGCCAAAAGTCATTCTGCGATAACTGCAAACAACTACAACAAAAAGTAGTATATGCCAACTGAACCCACTTACCAAATTTTTGTCTGGAAAAATTGTCTCAAAAATGTACGGTTGTGTCTTACTGCATACTTACCCATCAACCCTACTGTCCCTACTTATTCTTGAGTACTATGAGGATTATGCCTCAAAAAATAATTGTCGTGTAGCCACTGGTTAGGCTGCAGTGATTGATTCCAAGGATATGTATACGTATACGTATAACCAGTGATCATAACTTATAGTTCTAAAAAAGCTCAATAATATGGTATAAAAAATATTCATATAAGTGCTTAAATATGCACTAAAAATACTAAAATATGCGAAAAACAATTGTATAAAAAAAATTATCAATATTTTATTATAAAAAAAAAAATTGAATAATATTACATCGGAATTATTGTTTATTGTACAATGGACGATTAATGGTACTCATTTATTCTGCGATTGTTCTGTTAAAAATATATAATGATATATATGATAATGATATCGGAATACCTAGAAACGATAAAAATAGAATATAGTGCATACGCTACAATTATAATGGTTTCTTTATCAATTGGGGGAGATTACCAAGTTTCGGGCGTATACACTCTCGCTACGTCGCGCGTCGTCTAAACTCGTATAGTGAACTTGAATTTATTGCTAATATAAATAATTAATACAACTATAATTACTTGTTATTATTAAGAAACAATGTTTTAAAGGCTACAGAATTGAAAAAAAAAAAATATGAAAAAATAATGTCGGAAAAATAGAAAAATCAAAATAGCATTTATACTTCGAAATATGCAAAAATATACAACATAAAATTTCGTAATTGGCTTCTTGTTTATCTGAAACAAATTTATAGCTCACATAGATATCGATAGGACCTCTCAAAAAAAAAGCTAATGCTAGAAGTTATGAGCCCTGCTTATAACTTAGTTCATTATATGAAAGTTTCACAGTATTTAATAATTATTGTGTTTTAGGTTGAAAATAATCCTTATATAACTCAAAATAAACTTAAAGAGGTTTGTGAGAGTAATGGAATTCTATTAACTGCTTATGGACCTTTAGGATCGCCTTACAGAGGTGCAAACTCAAAAGGATTAGTACTTTTAGAAGAACCAATTATTAAAACAATTGCCGACAAGTATGCGAAGACCAATGCTCAAATATTAATACGTTTTCAGGTAATGATATACTGAGTTGTTTTTTTAAAGATTTGTACAGATTTGTATTAGAAAATTTCATTGTCTGTTCCTGTCACGCCGATGTACTTCCCTATATCGCTCGTGTTAAATAATAATTCTTTAATGTCGCCTATTAGTGTGATTGGCCGTCGAAGAGCTAGTTGTTAAGAGCTAGTAGTTCCCCTTAGTAACGCTGGATTTATAATATAATATAGTGGGCTGGATGATTATTGGCATAGGCGTGTCTATGGTGGCAGCCTAGGGTGCCTGGGCTGCCCATGCAATTTTTCACAGGTGCCGATCAACCGAGTTTTAAGTCAGAGGGTTATAACATTTCTTTTTCTTTTTTTTTAACTTGATTTTTTTGTGGGTAGGGGTATCGTTATAAATACCATTTACTTACAGAGATTGATTTCCTGACTTCCGAAATCGGAAAAACCCACTATAGAGACCTGAGACAGACGACGACGATACAGTACGCATCTAGGTATTATTGATATTATTGTTGTATTATTTTTGGTTTGTAGCTAGGTGCTGTAGGTAATCCAAGGATGATTAATATTTCTGGAGTTAAAGTAGATTATTATTGTAAATAGATAATTTAGACTTTTTTTGAAATTATGTAAATATTTCATTGTGGAGGGGGGGGGGCTTAAAAAAAAATACGGCTTTGGGTGTACAGGGCTTTTTTCCGTTCACTTTAATAAGCTACCGCCGGTTATTATCTAGGCTGCCCCTGCCAATGAAGTCTAGTCACGCCTATGGTTATTGGTTACGACATCTATGTTATGTACCAATGTCCAATGATGAACATTATTGCTTATTGACTTTTGAAGAGTTCAAGTGTTGGAATATTTTGATATTGGTATATATTCTAGTATTTAGATTTTAGACTAGTATTTAATTTTTCAACATGCCCGGGCATCGATGTATTGTTCCGGCGAGGCGTGCACATTTCATCTTATAATGGTTACAGAATTTTAACTTTATTCTATTCCAAATTTCCAAATATAATATATTTGACTATATGTGTCTATGTAACATGTAATTGAATATGGATTTATATTTTATATTTATCTTATTTTTCGAAATTTGTTATTTTAAATTAGTTGCATTAAATGTTCAAGCTTTTTTACCCAACAAATAATATTTTAATGATATTTATACAAAAAAAAACTAAAAAAATTAAAAACTGAAAATGTCCGTAAACAGCTCAAAAAGAGTCAAAATATTTTCAAAATTATGTGGTGTATAGGAAAATAGAAAATGCTTATATAAACATTCAGTGAAATTTTCAAGTATCTACCAGTCATTACAACAAAATAAGAAAATCGTTACATGAGAAATCTAGTGAATATCAAATGTTGTAAAAATATGAATTTCAAAGGCTCATAAAAATTTAATTTGAGTTTCTTGTAGACATTTTTTTTTTTTTGATAAAGGTAGACAAACTTATAATGAATCTTGTATTACATTTTCAAATCTTAGATTTAAAAGAAAATTTTTTATGAATGTATAACTCAAAATAGTTTGCTAATTTTTTTTTTTTCCGTATTTTGTAAATATTTAACTTTAAATGCTTATAAAAAAAAACTGTTATTAAGGATTTTTAATATTTTTAAACTTCATTGTAACAACATAGTAGGAGTTTCGCATTAAATTTTCAAGCTTTTTTACTTAACAAATAAAGTTTTATTGACATTCATAGAAAAAAAACCTATAAAAGTTGGAAACTGAGTATATCCATAAACAACTCAAAACAAGTCAAAATATTTATAATATTATGGTGTATAGAAAATGCTAATATAAACATTCAGTCAAAATTTCATGTACCTAAGATCATTTTGTTTAAGAGTTGTACCAAAAACCAAAATCGATTTTTTCGAAAACAGATTCTGAGGACAAATTCCCGTTTTTCCTTAATTTTTCTTTTGTTTTTAACTTAGCTTTTGAAAACTATTGGAAAGTTTTTACTTTTGACCCCCCAAAGTACCAACTGAATTCACTTTCCTATCAGAAAAGATACTGTTAACTTTTAACTTTGTATTTTTTTTACTATTTTTCCCGTAATCAACGATAAATTTGCTATAGAAATATTTTTATCCCACTAACAGATAAAAAATCATGTAGCAAGGGGTTAAAGAAAATCCAAGCATTTTTACTATCCTAAAAAGATGATGACAGACACAAAAATAAAAAACTAAAAAAAAAATTTAATAAAAAAACATCAATATGAATGTAAAATCAATACATTCATCGTTTCACTCAGAATTTACAAAAATAGTAGGGATATGAAAAAAAAACAAAAACAGTAGAGGAGCTCCATTGTATATTATAGCTCTGTGTGTATATTATAAATTATAAATTATAATTTATGACTATTTGATCAAATAAGTTAATTTTTTATTATTTGATTTGATATTATTATTTTTAATCTCAATGCTCAACAAAATTAATACATATATTACTGTATACAAACCTAATAGTAATAACTAATAACTAATAAGTTACTATCAATAATTTATATTTGAAAATTACTGTTACCTACGTATGATTTTTTGTTTTATAGTTCAATATAATATGTATTTTAGAAAATTTAATTATATTAAGAAGAATATTATAGTTTATAAATTCATATACATATGACCAATTTTTATTTTATATGTAAAAATATTAAGTAATATTAAGTACAAATATTAAGTAATTATCATAGAATTTTGTAAACAAAATACACGTTAATTGGTGTATTTCGTAATTACTAATTGAAATATGAATAAAAAGGGCGAACCGACTACCAGAGCTTGGTGGCGATTCTGCTTGATAACGCGACGATAAGAATTCACTTTTTTTATCCAGTGGCCAGTTTCTTATTATAATATGTTCATGTTTCCTGTTATATCATATACGACAAGCAGTGTTTTTTAAATTCTATGGTTGTCACATATCTGATAAATATTGCAAATAGAAAAGTATTTTATTAATATCAGTTCCAATAATGTTGAATGAGGGTTTGCCAACTGATGTATAATACATTAATACACACTGTTTTATGTCAGCATCAATTAATATTTTTAATTCAAAGATCCTTTTATCAAACTTTCGTGTATTGTTAATTTAAGGTTCAAAGAGGTGTTATAGTCATACCCAAGTCATCTAATCCAGAAAGACAAAAACAGAATTTTGATGTCTGGAATTTTGAAATGAGCAAGGAGGAAATGGATTTACTGGAGTCATTGAATCAGAATCTACGTTATGTTCTTTTGGAACCGTAAGTTGAAATAATGAATAAAATAATTGTACCTATGACTTATTTTTTAAATTCTTCGAATATATAAATTTTAATAATATTTTTTTAGAGGAATGCACTTGAAAGACTATCCATTTAACGAAGAACCTTAAACACTAGTAATAACTACACTGATATAGTAACAGTCCTCTGATACTGTAATATTTGGAATAAGAAATATAAAATTGAATTGAATTTGTCTTTTAAAATGAATCTTAGAGACATGAATTTTAATATTCTATTAAATGTATTCAAAACTATTTAAAGATGCTAGAAAGATAAATAAAAAAAAAAAATATTAGTTTTATCATTGGTAAACCATTCAATAATTTTAAACGGAATTGATAAAGATTATAATAATCGCTATATTTCAGCTAATATATCTATCTTATGCCAACTGTACAGTATCTCCTAAACATAGGATAAACCTTCTGAGAACGTATTTGAATTCTTCATAAAGTTTTCTTAAGTTTACTTTGCCACTTTCTTGGAATTAAACTTTCTAACCCTTCAAAATAAGATTTAAATTTTGAATGTTATGAATTTTAAAATCTGAATAATATTGAAGTTGAAAAATTAATTAAAATAATCAATTTGGCTCAGTATATCGTCCTGATAATAAAAAAAATAGCAATTTACTTTTTCAACGACATAAACTTTACTAGCAGTGCAAAATTTTACAGACCAACCGACTGTGGACGCCTGCACGACCGTTTAATGTGTAAATACGATCTTCTAATATATTGTAAAATATATTAGTACCTACATAAATATATTGTATTGTTCACTACAATTATATTCTGTTATACTACGATAGGGTTGTCTTATATTATTTTACTTAAATCAGAATAAACATTGTTTCTATAATTTTTATGAACAAAATCGCACTACTCCTTCCTGATTAACCAGTTTAAACACACTGTTTTTTCGTAACTAGAATACCATTCACAATATGTCAGCATTCTACGACATGTTGACGATTGACATATTATGTTTGCAAGGCAAAAGCTATCTCAACGTTACAAATCGAAATGAGCAACCGACACAATTTATCTACTAGCGATATAATTGATTACAAAAATTATCGAGGGGAGCAGGAAAACGACGAACATAATATTCAGTGATAATAATATTGAAGTTACAAAATACAATATGGTAATACATTATAACTAGAAAATATTATCCTTCGTAAATTGTAATGCATATGAGTATATGACCCAGGCATCAAAGCTAAACCAGCTAAATCTTAAATTCTCGACAAATGTGTTCTACGTATTTATTATAGCCACAGTGACGTACGTATACAATTATCGGTATATCAGTAATTACCGGTTTTTAAAAAATACCAATATTCGGTGTTTTCGGTATTTTAGAATACCGGTATACCGTGAATCTGTAATTACCATTGTTACCGAAAATACCATGCCGTGGTAATTACCGAAAATACTGTATACCAGCTACATTTATTATTTATTATTTTTATATAATCGTAATGACATAATATTATAATATATCTATCATCGGTTGGAAACTTGGAAACATCTTTAATAATTACTGATAATACCGTACAACCAGTAGTAATACCGCACATACCGGTAGTAAATAAATGCCGGATACCGGTATCAAAATTTGAAGTACCGCTAGCACATTCGACTATATTACGTATGTTATAGCCATCCCGCCCGTTGTTGCCCTTGAGACTAGCTTGGGACTATGCGAACAGTTATATTTGTTGCTTATTATTGTGCTGAAGGAGAATGTTTTTGAACCAAACATTTCTAGCATGTTTGGATGAAAATCCTATCGGGTCGTTAGGTTGCCTACCCATTCGACTCCAGGGGCATGTAAGGTTAGGTTGGGTCATAGGCATGTATCATAGGTTGCCCATCTACCACAAACCCCTACGCTCTTCGTACTTGTTCACCGTTTTACACTGTGTATTCAAACTCACTTTGTTTTCCTCACATATCACATGTACAATGATTTTATATCATTGAATTAAAATTTAACACACGCCTTTAGAGTTTAGACATCTACTGTACAGAACATTGGTACCCACTTGCCCACTTTTTTTTATTTATATAATATGATATAGGTGCAATATAGAGTATAAAAAAATCTGTTTTATTTCTGTTGAGTACCAATTTCAACTCAATGTGTTTATAACGAAAAATATTCGATATTCGTGAGCCACTCTATAGCAATCTATATGGGTTGAAAAACGTAGGTATAAACACTCGCCTAGTCTTAAAATGTAGTACCAATTGGTTCCGTATAGTTTCCAAGATTACGGGATACTAACAAACGTACAATCATTTTTATAATAATAGGTAGGTACATATATAATATAATATATATTTTATTAATTTATTATTTATAGATATACAATATAATAATTGCTATTATTATTTATTAGGTACCAAATAATACCTATAGGTATGACGTAACATATTCTATTTGTGCCGACGGATAATGAATGTAGCTAGGAATCTAGGATTACGTCGTTCGTCATGGTCATAGTCAAAGAATAATGTAAACGTAGGTAGGTAACTATATAGCATGTGCTGCTGTAGTTAGGACTTTGGGTGTTTTTGTGTTCACATCAGCTGTCTGTACACGATTGGGTCCAGCTCGCCGTAAACCTTTTCGAACGACTTTTTGGTACAGCAGTAGATGAGCCCGTCGTTGGCGTCCGGTTCGGGATCGTTCCGGTGACCACGGCCGGGTCCGGTCTCTGCCTTATTATTTTGGTGATCGCGGCCCTGGTAACCGCGACCGTGGTAACCGTCTGGGCATATGTTAGGACATATGTACACGCTGTCGTCGATCTCCTTGTACGGGTTGTTGAGACCGATGTACACGATGCCGTCCGCCGCGTCCACATCGTAGTACAGCTTCCAATAGAACAGCGGCACGCGTATGGCACCAGGCAGGTCAAGGTACAGTGGTTGTTGGACGTCGTCCACGTCGGCCAGCGTGCACGTGTCGTACGTGCCGGTGACGATCACATGTGTGGAATTGTTGTTTTCCTTGCTTAACTTTGACCGGGTCGACTGCTCCAGATCGGCCCACATATCACCGTTGAATATTTGCCACTGCGGGGCTACGTTCGCATAGTAAAACCTACGTCATGTACCCAAAATACATGAATAATAGGTATATATTATATATTATTATGTACAATATGTGCATTGGTACCTAGGTAAAATATTGGCTGTCCTTAATTGACCAAAAAATTTCATCATTTCATAAATAATTATTGGGAGGGGGGGGGGGTTAGGTTTTTTGTTGACTGTTTTTAAAAATGGTACTAAACTGAAGTTTATTAGATCTTAATTACACAAATTTGTCTATTTTGCTTTTTTTTCAGCTAGTCTGTTGAGTAATTGAGTAAGTACAAGATGAGTAACTTCGCTATCCCCATTATTCAACAATCACAATATATTGATAAATTCTATCTCGGTTTGTATTTATAGGGACTATGAGCCATGTTTTGATTTTACTCAAGGTAGAAAAGGAACGTCACTGAATTGTAAATTTGTATAGTAGGTAGTAGAATTGTAATCAAATTTGTTTTTACATATAATATAAAAAAAAAGCGGGTAAGTGGATGTCACTCTGCTGTACAGTAAGTTACAAGTGGGTCATTGTATAATGGATTGTATTAAACTTGAATTCAATGATATTCCATCATTGTATAAGAAAAACGATTCTGACGGTTTGTCAGTCTGGATATTTTATATAGTCATTAATTATTATATCATGTAAGTTGAATTAATATTACATTATTATTTTTTATTTGTTTCTATGGTAATAAACAAAGCGTTAGAAATTAAAATTCAATTTTTAGCGGTTTTTTGTAACTTTTCGGTGGTTTTTACTTTGGCATTAAATGATTAATAATAAAATCGAAAAATGACCTCTCTAAAGTACCTAAAAGGATTTAAGGATAGGTGCCTAGTGGGTATTTTTGTTGAATGCGTGTGCTCTTAAAAATTCATCTGTACGCCACTGGCCGTAAGCCTGTAATTACCTACGCGGCTAAGCGTATGTATATGTCGTATATAGTTTCGCAGCTGTATCTATAGTAGCTATACGGTGTATCACTTACGTTGACATCTGTTCGTAATCAAAGAAGAAGTCAGCTTTGGCTGCATAATGGCCCCGGGACAGTGAGTGTTGGTTATCATTCCTTATGTACTTATCCGCAAGTTCGTCCGATCTGAGTATTTTCGCCACCGTTTTTTTCTAATTAAACATTTTTTTTATAGTTAATATTATATATAGTATTATTTTCATAGTTAAATTATAATGGTTTTTAAATATTTGTAGTAATAATAATAAGCATTGATTAGAATCATTGTTGATGACTTAAATCAGCTATCCGGCTATCGGGTATGCCATAAGCCCATAACATAACATATTAGTATTATACTATTATCATCTAACCTTGAGAAGATTATAATTATAATATACACTCCACGAATTACAACTTAGGAAGACGGTGTCGGTCGATCCATTATCTGATTGAATCATCGTAAAAATTACTATAAACCTGCAGGACCTGGTTTTGTATATATACAAATGTATTGTAGAATATGCATATTATATTAATTATGCACAGAACGTTTAAAAATAAATTTATAGTAAGAATATGTATCAAAAATGTATAACAGACATGATAGGCAATATGCATAAAAATGATTGGATAATGCCATAATGGTATCATTTTTTAAAATAATATTATAGTTACCTATATACTATAATAAAATTGTATTCTTGTCATATTTGTATTAATTTGATATAAAACATATTCAAACGGCATAAATAGCAAATTATAAAATATTTATCGTCTATTGTATACAATATTGTAATATTGTTAAATTTATTCTGCCGATCATTATCGTTTATTTTAGGCTGAAAATGGCTTAATGGTGTCGAAGTCAGATATTTATTAAGAGGCGCATAAATGCTGGATAAACTGATAATCCTGATTGATAAACAATCAAAAATGAACTTACAGGGAAAACGATCATTCCACTCGTTAAATAGTCTAATTTTGATCATTGTTTTAGATTCGAAAGATCACCGCACTTAAGACTGGAAGTTTCGAAATCCTGCAGCCGCAGCAAATATTACCTGTTCTTTGAAAGTGTATTTCCTGTTCACGTCCGTGTTGCCGTACAGCTCTTTGGACTTGATGAACGCCGGTCGCTTGCTGTACTTCTGGTGGTTGTCGTAGTACGGCTGCCTGGCGTCGTACCAAGTGTACAAGCTGTTCTTGGTCGACTTGTCGAAGCACAAGCCGTACAGCCGGAGGAACGCGCGGTCCGTCTGGAAACCGACCACGGCCACCGTGTAGTTGGCCGGCTGGCACCGGTCGTCGGTGACTTGGAGCTCCGACTTGGGCATGCCGTCGCACTGGAAGTCCTCGTACCTGTACGTCTGGCCACGGTACGCGAGCACGTCGCCGCCTACGCACGTGACCAACGCATCGGAGCCGTTCTTCTGCAGCTCGCTTGACGCGAACTTGGCGGTGGCACACGACAGCTTGAAACTGCGGCCGTACTTCACGTCCAGCCGGCCCTTGGCGTTCGGATAGATGATCTCGTACCGCTTGCCGTTGCTCGTGAATGGTATGGGCATTTTAGGCTCGTCTTTTTCGGCAACCCATAACGAACAGTCGTCCTCGTTTTTAACTATAATATTACAATAATGTACCCATCGTATAAATAACATTATTGTTTATTTGTTTATATCGGAGATACCCATTCAAACGTTTCCATTTCACGGCTCCTTCGCGTCTCTTCACAACATTTCGAAGGCTCTCAAATACACAGATAGAAAATGTTTTAATGGGAAACTATGTATTGCAAATTGAAATTGAATATGTTGTACGTTTAGAATAAAATAATATTATATTAATTGTTTTCATCGTTATCATCATTATTTTTTCTTCATCCTAACTCCCCTGACAATATTAATACTCGCAACGCCCATTTGGAGCCGCGATGCACAGTTTGAATGCCTACCTCTGGTTTATATTATGTTACATAGTGTTACACACATGACACATATTATGCGCTTTGTTGTAAATACTAAAATATAATGTGGTAATGTCGGCTGCCGCACACCCAAATTACGCCCTGAATTTGAATGCCAGAGCAAGAAGGATAACGCAAAGTTGAGTAGGATCAATATAAGTTTTTTTATTAGATATTCTACATAAAATCGAGTATCTGTTAATATTGTTGTTTCAAAAATTTCACGTCCTTGTGTCGTCAAAAAAGCGTAGTACGAATTAAAAATAATAATACATTTACACGGTCGTTCCGCCGAGTTGGCGGGTGATAATATGTTTTTGTAGTATCGAAAAACTGATCGGCAATCGCCACACTATACCGATTACCGGTATGCCCACAGTTTTGGTTACGGTAACTTTAATGTAATATTTGGTATTTATCGTATACGTGTAAACATCTATAGTATAACTACACTGTTCTCGGTATATTGTTTAGTGTTTGTACTATAATCGCGGTAATGTCCAAACACCGACAGCTCTGTAGTTATTATAATTCAAACATACCTATATCGATGTTTTTCGTGTTTTAGAAATTTAGATTGCGTATGTTATAATGCCGCGTGTTTTTTAATACGTAAAAACAATTCCAGAGAGACGTCTTATCTATAAAGAAACGTATACAACAGGAACTTATTCATTTCGACGCATACACTAACGCACCGTATATATACATTACAGCATTATACTATACGTATACATATAATATAATTATGTTACGAATTTATGATATACCTAAGGTACTTACACATATTATTATAATATTATGCGATTATCGAGTTACGGTTTAAGTTACTCATATCGAATATTAAAATGTATTTCTAGGTATATACGAGTATCAGGTGAATCATTATAACGTTTTAGAAAACAGTTAGTACAACAATAATAAATATATCATTAATATTACATTTATTATATTATTATGAACCGGCGTCGAGGCGGCACTATTTGTAAACGGGTTAATAGAGCTTTTAATCACTAACCTAACCTAACCTAACCCGCTGGGCTCGGTTCAATTACCGAGCCTTTGTTGGAAACCGCCGTTACCTATTTATAATATGATGCAATGTTATGTTATATATAACAGTTTTAAGGTCATCTTATATTATAGTCGACGAGCAGGTGCTAGAAAGGTAACGCTTTTAATGTACATATTGTTGTAACCGATGTGAAATCTGTGCGTAAGAATTGGAAGTATAGGTACAACAAAGGAAGTTGGATACCTATAGGTATTTTTAATTCTAAATAGAAAATTATGCATTCATCTTTTATACACATAGGTATCTATTTATTTCTAAACAACGGACGAAAGCCTAAGACATAACAATTATTTTTATTCTAACACATTGAATTCCACTGTCGTCACAATTAGGTGATATTATAACATATAATCGAAAACTTATATCGAATTTTCCCCGTTTATATGACCGATTAAAACTGGTATTAGGCATTAAACACATATTATGTTATGCATGTATTATGACTATATTCCTATACAGTATAATATACTTACCTACTTATATTATTTTGTACTTCAGTAGGTACTCGTAACTAATATGGGTATTGTCTTTTGTATAACTATTGATTATTGTCTACATCATAATATCTCGGCATATATTTCAATATCTTTTGTGATGTTTTCTTTTTTGGTTCTTAGAGGGGAAGGGGTTCGGCGTCCTGGAGTACTGGAGATATACCCTAAGACTCTCCTTGTAAATACGCCACGGAATATACAATATAGTTATTGAATAGAAACGTAGTTTAATTTTGATGTGACTCAGAACTTATTTATGCCATTGCCGGTCATAACGTAAATGTTGAAAGGATATTTTCACTGGTCAGTGAACCAAAGAACAAAATCGTATTCAAGTAGTAATACAGTATAATATAGAAAATAGAAAGTATCGTTCAAAGCGAATTTAATTTAAAAATCACTTATTCGGAATTTCATGAGTAATATTATGTTATGAGAAAACCAGAGCTGCTGAAACAGTTCAAAAAGTCAGAAAAATATCAAAATTGAAACTAATTCAATGTAAGTATACATCAACAGTATTACCTACCTACGTCCTACATATTATAATAATATGACATATCAGTTAACCCAAGAAGTAAAAGTGTATGTACTTTACCAGATCGATTGATTTTCCTGGCATAGATGGTTGGAAGAAGACACGAACAAATGACAAAACATACTGCAGTAATTAATGCAGTTGAATGCATTTTCGAGCGTGTACGTTATTAGGTCTTATGATTTAACACGTCTGAGTACAGTCCTCAGGTTTCCTCCTTGTAATATTATTATGGCTATAGGTAGTCTTCTGCTACGTGCAATCCGTGTCTCGTCTCCCGCAGTCACTTGGAACAGCTAACCTTGCTGCAGACAACGAGAGAGTATTATAATAGTATGCGTTTGATGTGAACTTATAGGTGCTTATGCCTACTCAAATTAAGTAATGTATAATTTACAAAGTACACATGCCGTTTTCAATCTAATCAACGATACATAAATAAATTATGGCATAAGTGATTTGGCAAATATTATGTGCTATTATCGCCTATCGGAACAATTCACTTTTGTAGCAGTGTATGTGCAATAAGAGGGGCTCTAATGGTATATTTTATATTATAACTATCACGCTTTTAAGTGGTTATAACTATAATTTAAAAAATGTACGAGTGCTAATATTTTAGGTAGGCACTTAATTATCTGAATAATCATTCCAGAGTGTAATCACTAATTAACTTTTTTAATGCTTATAAACCGATAATGGATATATCGAGAAATGTGTTAAATAAATTGTTCGAATAAATACATATAACAGTATTTATTGTTTTTAATTTGAGTGAATATAAGTGTGTATAATTAACATATTAAAACAATTAACTGCATCTCAAAATTCTCCAATAATTGTATATAGAGTCAAGTAGGTACCTATATTAATAGTCTGATCATACTATTATGTAATCGTACGACGCGTTCTAACTAAAGTTATATCCTCAGTTAGATTGTATATTATATTTTGCATCTACATAAAACCGTTTCAATAAATCATGCCAAGACTCATTATTTTATAATTGTATTAATAAAATAAAGATACATTTTAAAATATGTCAACATAATAACGGCGATGAATTCAATACGGCAATGCCGATACTTATATATTAGTAATACTTTAATATTAGGTTATAAATTATAATATTATATTGGAATACCGGGAACCATAATATATTATAGGTAGGTGTATTATTAAAATTTTAGTGGATTTATAAATTATTTTTGTGATGTACGTTCGTCAGTTCAATATCTAGTTTTATCGTTAGAATAGAGAAATACCGAATGGCGCAGTGTATATACATATTATTAAATGTTTTCCAGTAAACTATAGCTATATATTATTATTTTTTATATGTAATATTTACCCATTGTATACAATAAATGGAGTCATTTGAATAACCGATCGAAGTGGTTAGAACCATAACAAGTGAAACGAACACACGCACTTTGTATATTATTATATTTATATATAATAATTAATTAATCCGAAATATTATCATGGACCGCAGTGTAATCAGGTATACTCGAAAACATTGTTTTTTACTTAAAAAAATGTGACGCAGTCTCGGCTACAGATACCTGAATCGATTGCACGACGGCGACGGCTGTCGAATAGATAGACATTCAAAATACAACCGCCGTGATCAATAAGAGGTGTTCAATGCGGACACACTCTATAAAATAGTATTTCCGTATACAACAATATTTTAGGAAAACGTGTCCACTGCGCTCTGTTCGAAATAACGGGTTTGTTTACGGTTATTACGTTATGATGCAGAAATGAGTGTACATGCTAGCACTGACAGATGACGTGTTATAATTGTATAAATGTATATTATACGGAAGACAGTATTTGGATGAACATAAACTTGCTGTACTTACAACATGACCATGAAAACGATGCAGTTGTACGGCCTCGAAGATCATAATATTATATTATATTAAATTTAGGTATAATAATATCGTGCTAATGTGTTAGGCGAGTCTTAAAAACGAAAAACGGAACTGTATAATATTATTATAAAAACGTAAAATAATTTATCAACGAGTTAATAAAACTAGTAGCGGTTAACAGAATAATAATATTATCATTGTCGTGAACTATTTGGCAACCACTCGGACGAAATCGAACCTATCCCGCGGTATGCGTGGTATATAATAATATAACTCCGTATTCCAGCGTGTACCAGCAATGGTTTCGACGATCGAACGAAATGCGCGAAAACGGAACTGGTCGACGTCGCTTGACTATAATATTCGATAGACGATAAAACGATAATAATGTATTTGAGCGGATACCGCAGCGTTTAGTTGTACAGCATTGTCGTGGTTATATAGCAGCGGCGAGTGAACATTTTTCAGATTATTTCATCGAAAAAGAAGGGAAAACAAAATGTGTCGTAGTATTGTGCATTTTCTCCATACTATAATTACTATACACACCTGCAGTGTATACGTAATGAAAACACATAGTATATTATTACCAACATTTACAACGGTGTAAGTGTCCAGCTGGGGCTACAAAATGCCCGTTTATTTTTTTTTTGAACTTACGGATAAAAGAGTGCAATTGACGAACGTGCTGCATGTGTCGAATCGACGCAACTCAACGACGAAGAGAAGACCTTGTGAAAAATATTATAATATTACTCTTGTAAATTCGAACAGTCACAGCAGACGGGGCTGGGAGTAAGATATAATAATAACGCCCTAGGTCAATCGTTATGTGGGCGCCTTTTTTTTATACGTCAATATTCTATTATTTATTGTGAATTATTAATATATTATATAAGCAAAAAGTGTAGTAGGTACCTACGTAATATTATAATAATTAAAAAGTAACACATTTTTGAAAAGATAACTAAAATTTGGGGTTTCATTTATGAAACTACTCAAGCCAAAATAAAGATAATTATTTTACATATTTTCTTATTACTAATTATAGAAATGATGTAATTGAAAATAATTTAAATATCATTTTTCTAGATTTTCAATATTATTTAGAAATAACATTTTAAATACCCCTTAGAAGATCACCTTACTCCTACGCCAGTACTAACAGCAGTATTGTGATATTCACTGATATATCAAACATGTACGATGTACCTATATATAGGTACATATTATTATTATCGGTTATGTTTGATTTGTTTGATGACACTGATGCTCGAAGTCACTCAATAACATCATTATATTATTATAATTTATAATAATGTTATGTAGAGTTGTAGGTACCTAAGTAGGTGAAAACATTGCGTTTTCGCAAATAAATGTAAAAACCGTTTACGTAACATCGTGCCGATATAGCTAATAGGCACACTATTCACTATTGTCACATCATTCGGCTTTCGAATGCGTACCCATTACAATATTCAGCACTCAGCAGTCTGTAAAGCGGGGGTACTAGACCGTCACTTAACGTCTTAGATTACAATTTTTTTTTGTTATTAAAAGATGAATAAAATTGCCTATTTAAAACTCCTTAAAATGCTGCAGGTTGTACGATGATAATATTAAATCAATTTTATTTTTCAAGCGTTTTCCGTGATTTAAGCCCATATATTTCAATTTTGTTTAATTCGACAGAATGCGAAGGGTGCGTGCATTATAAATAATGAAAAAAGTTACTTTTATATAGTTAGAAAACAAAAAGTGGTAAATTCCTAATCACATTGAATAACAACAATACATTAAGATTAAGCTCCAATAAATTCCTATATATTATGTTTACATATCGAAATAATACGTAATTGCCTATAGTGACGATTTATTTCTAACACTATCATATTTTAATTTAAAAAATATTTGGATGGGCCTGCATAGAACGAAAAAAAGTGCTTAAAATACTTAAGGATACTTATGTATAGTACACGGACATACTCAGTAGGGATCATAATCTAAGACCGTGGTGGGGACCATTATCTTCTTAAAAATATATATGCATGAAATCGAAATATTGCTTTTAATAATAAATGAAGGCCGAGCGCCTTGAACAACATTCGTATAGGCAAATTGTTTTATGTTTTGGTATATTGATGGCATGTCGTAATAATATACCATAGTATTATATATTAAATTAATATTGATGAAATACATTGCGTACCAAGGTGATAAAAGGTGTGTTCAATAGAATTATGTACATTATACATTGATTTGATTTAACTCCAAAAGAATATATTCATATTGTTACCAATTTAATTTTGATGTTATGATATGAGTTTACAAACGGAAATTTACATGTTTATTATAGTTCAGAATATTCTTTTTAGTAAATATGATATAACAATAAATCAATTAAATAATAAAAAAATATAGACGTTACATAAATGATGAATATAATATAATGTGATTCAATTTAACTTAGTGATTAAATATTATTGAAACATAGTTACACTGTATTTGATAATCACCATTATTTATCTATAAAATAATATGTATTTTATTCTCGAAAAAATATTAGTTTAACTAAACATTGAATTGATCAACAACATAATAAATGGTTAATGTTGTAATATAAAAACTAAATTTGATATATTATATCATAATTCATAGATTAGGTATATATATTTTAGTCAAATGGACATTCATTAGACACTCGAATACGTTAAGTCTAACCCCCATATATAATATATAAACATTCAATGTTTACTTATTTTTCAATGGCGTTTAAAAATATTATTTACGTACCTACCTCTATTCCTACGACTTTTATCCACGACTTATTTCCAATCGGAATAATAATAAAATCGTAGTTATAATGTATACAATATTATGTAGTATGTAAATATGAAATAAGTATTGTTTTTGATTTAAGAAGGTTTTGTGGGTATTGATAATTAAGTAAGTTTGTTGATGGTCAGTTGTCACGTCGTCGCTGCTCGTTTATGCCGAAGTACGTTTATCACAGCGTGCGTTCAAGTCTCCACCACTGTGATCGATGCGACTATCAGCCGACCGGACGAATAAACTCCATTTGTATGCAACGGTCGCTTACGATAGGTAATAATAATAATTCCGTCGGACTATACTCAATAATATAATAATATATACGTTCTCGGAAGTTGGAGCTGCAATGTGTGGCGACTGGTTTTTTTTTTTGTTCTCCATCGAATCCGTCCACCGACCAGTTCGACTTTCCCCCCTTGTACATAGGTAATAATACTAT